CGAGTATGTAACAATTTTCAGCAACTTTTTATGTGTGTGAGAAAAGTCGGCTTCATACTAAATTGACAACAGGTAACAAACAATCGCTAACTTATTTGGTTACCATAAACTGTATGGTTTTAAAATTATCCTAGGCCGAACCATTATGTTTTGGATTTATTTGAATTCGCTATAATAGATGGATTTTAAGGATCTAAGTTCAGTCTACCCATGGGTACTGAATACCTATATGTGACATTGACGTAACTGCTTTCTATATACTTCAAAGACTAATTTAGCGAACAAGAAAACCTTGCAAGTATAAAGCAACGTACTTGGCTGCACCGGCACATCTATTGATATATATTTCAATAAGCCGCAAGTCGACGTAGGTGTACGGCACTCCTCCAAACTTGTCGGTAAAGCATTATAAAGGCTCTGAGGTGGTGCTAGACGGACGTTAAAGGATTAAAAGTTGCCGAGCAACTTCGAAAGCTGCCGGATTCATATTACAAATTCGGCACCTGGAATCTCTGGCGAAATTCACGTGTAAGCGGTCCTGTGGGTAAGACGGGATTAGAAGCTGTGTATATAGCTAAGCTCCCAAAGGACGAGCTTTCAACCTTTGTCACATTAGTAACTGAAGTTGGGACACATCCTATTAGGGTAGACATTTGTATTTCATTATGAACTTTCAAGAGTTGTCTTCTGTCCGAGTGACAGCACTATTTGCCTTATGAAATATGGTGCGTACGTAATTCTGATCTCTCAAAGCAACTTGACTTCAAGGCGATTTCGGCTTGTGAATATCACTATGATATTTCAGTTTCTGACCGTGTCCTCAAAAAATCATTAATGATCCCTAACGTAGCGGTAGAAGAGAGCTAGGTCGCCGACTGCTCGCCGGTGCGAGAGGGTCCCAAGATTGTCCGTTAGCCAAGAGTCATTGATCGGACTAATAGCCCTTCTCTGAACAGCATCGAGCATGGAGAACGTACTCGGGGCGGCAGCACTCCAAACATGTGAGTAGTACTCGAAGCTGAGTTTTATCTAGACCTTGTACATTGTGAAATTTATTTCAAAAACTAAACTTGAACGAGATCAGGAATAGACTTAGAACTACCTTGAAAAAATTCGAATTTTTTCCGTCTTCCTCCGGAAATACTCTGTTGCAAAACTTGTATGGAGTTACGATGTTATGCGGAGAGAAGTACTTCTTAGCACTGGATAAATGCCTCTTTTTCAGCAGCTGCCTTGACGATATGTGTTTGCTGCCATCAGAAAAGCTGTGGGTTAGACAGATCGTACTGGATGGTACGTCGGAGGACCAATCCGAGCCCTGGGGAAACAAGGGCTTGCATTATAGGGTGAAGAGGAGAATCTGACAATTACGACGGATATCTTGCGGCCAGAGAGCCACCCATCTGCAAAGCTTCTCCAGGAGGCCGTAGGATGTAAGGACAGCATGCGACAGCCTATCAACTGCTTTAAGGCGGCTCAGACGCAGTGAGTTTCAAGCCATTTACAAGGGTTCAGCTGCTTCAAAACTGACACTCCATTTTTCAATATTTTTCAATGAAATTCATGCAGTATGTTGAGAAGATAATTGCCCAGGGTGCTATAGGAGCACTTTTTGAAATCTTTTTTTTTGCACAAGCTTTATGATGGGTTGAAGTGCGCACTTTTTCTGTTCAACTTCGCGATTTTTTTAAAAAGAACCTTCTGAAAAAAATGAAAAAGTGGCTCTATAGCACCCTGTGGGGTTTTGTTTTCAGCACACTCTGAAAATTTCATCCAAAAATGTCAGAAAATAAAGCGTCAATTCCGAAGCGCGCAAACCTCTACAAATCGTATTTTGGACGAATTTTGTCTACTGTATCGGGCTGCCAACACAAGCGTTGCGGCGCAATGTACGGACTAAGAAAGGACGTATTCAGATAATTTGGTGGCCCTATTTCATATAATATCTCGTAGATAACACGTTCTGCAAATAGGTACTCACAATCGCGATCGCTGATACTCCTCGATTTTAAAGCCGTTTTACTTCCCACGCCATTGGCGAGGAAGTATTGTAATCACGAAAAATTTCTAAAATGAGATTTTATGTTTTTTTAAGCCATATGGCATCTACATCACGAAAAACTGTATCACTCATTATCAACTTGGAAATTACCGCTTGGATTTTTATGAAATTTCCACATTGCCAAAGCTTTCTAGTTCTACTCCACTGGCAACGGAGCTATAGGCAAAAAAGAAAAAGTAACAATTGCTGAAACTCCATTTTTGAAGTTTCAGAGGCTCCTAATCATTGACATAAAAAAATTGTACTGCTTAAAAAAAAGGGGGGGGGAGAAAGCAGTGAAACACGTTCTATTATTAAGAAGCTTTTGATCCCAGTGATTACAGGAAATTTAAGTGACGAAAATCCGACGAATAATGTGCTCACGATTGGAAAAAAATCGGTATATGCTCTATAGGTTTGACACCAAGAGCCAACAGATCTGCAACTACCGACAGTAGGGAAGAATAAATTCGGATATCACTCCAGTCAAGTATAGGGGAACTTAGCGTGGAACATTAAAATTATCGATATATCAAGGAAATACGTTCTTGAGAATGATAATTTGGTAGATTTTATACCTGCATTTTCATTTGGATTTCATGACCCGTGAAACGTACCCATTTCGCCGTTACCTTCAATTTGTGTTCTGCAGTTTGTGATGCTTTTCTGGATATAAGCAGGACATAATTGTCTAGGGTGCTATCAGAGCTTTTTACAAAATTTTGTATTTGCGCAAGACTTAGGGTGGGTTGAAATGCTTACTATTTGTGCTCAACTTCTTGATATTTTAAAAAGATTCCAGTGCATAAAATGGACTTTGTCTTTGGCACGCTGCAATAATTTCATTTGGAAATAATAAAAATCAAACGTAAGCTGTGAAGTGCAAATCGGTTTTTGAGCGAAATTCATCTACCGTTTCAACCTGCCAGTCCAAGCGTCGTGACGGAGCATTCCGACTAAGAAAAAAGGTATTCAAATAATGTTATATCTTTCCTAAAATAAATTCAAGAAATCAAATTCAAATTCGTTTTTTCATGTCAATAAACAAAATTATGTTTACAATTGTCATGTGGTAGATGGTATCTAACAATTGAACGAGGGTCATAAAAATATCTTATGCAGTCAAAACAAGAGGAAACAGTTAGGTAGTTTTTGCAAATCAATAATTAGATAGGCTTATACCTGGATTAAGTACATGTCTTGTCTACTGTAATAGGTAGATAGAGGTGATGCTGCCAGAAATAGAGATGTGTGCGATCAATAAACAAACCACAAGATTGAACTGCCGTGTCCAATGATTTTTGTATTGCCTTTTTTTATTGCCTTACTAGAAAACTGTTGGGTATATGATGGAGTTTACTAGAACTTTACAGCTTGTTGTCTGCCTTCTTATACAAACTTCACTACATCAAGGCGCTGTCAACCTTATCCTCCGTTGAAGACGCCACAAAGTACAGTCCTGCGATTTGGTGACTTGTTCGATCTGCAAAATCTCGTCGTCACTTTTTTTAAGTTTCCCTAAAAATTTTCGCTTAGCAACCTCCAAATCGATGTAGTTAATGTCAGGTTTTTGACTGAATTCGCCATAAAACTATTCATTTTCTTTGGAATTGCTATCCGAATTGTTAGTTATTTTTATATCAGCTTTTTTTGGTCTGAGTTTCTTTTCAAGATTGTTGCGTTTGAGTCTTTGTTCCATCTTAGTGATAAGCGAGGTTGGACTAAGCTTAGCACGCAAATGTATTTGGACCACATAGACAGGCCGCTCGGTATTGTGGCTTACTACAGCTGCAGCACATTTTCCATGGTATGACCTCTTCTTGCAATAATTTATTCGCTTACCCCAATGTATTTTGAGATTATAGAGTTGAACTGCTCCACATTATTGTTGTCCACATCATGAATTAAACTCACTGCATTCGTAATTAAAATTGTCGCATATTATTATGACCTTTTATTGTCCATTATCAACCTTGATAAAAAAAGGCACTCAAGAACAATCACACCAACAAGAGTACAGCAAAACAATTCAACAACACAATATCGACGAACAGTAACCAGGGTAGAACAATACTAAATGATCACTTGCTGAGTTCCAAAATAGGAAACGATTAACATTCTAGATCGCTAATCGAAATCCGACTCGGTACGCACCCGCAGTCATCCTTTCCTCTTTTAAAGTAGCGCTGACAACCATCTAAGACCTGCCCACCCTCGTTTCCTGTTCACCCCCCGTTACCTCAGCAGATGGTACTCGAGATTGTAGGAGCCCCGTTAATAATAAAGAGCAACGGCATGAGCCTCACCAGAAGACTGGATGAGTTTAACTCCACAGTTGCGTGACATAAGCTGCGAGGTGGTTCCTCAAGCCATGCTGTCTGTCGCTAATCGTGACGTGACGTGACGAAGATGGATATTGGGTTTCTTGAAGTGAGCATGAATGAAAAAACCTTCCGTAAGGTCTACAGTGTGGCAATCGAGGTAATAGTATACGAGTTATCATCAGATTCAAGAATTATGTTTTCATACAAGGCGTCATTTTTCTCAAATCGTTCATTAAACATTACATTCTTTAGGTATGGGGAGCATTTTGGTAAATAAAAAACAGTACAAATGTCATAGTTGCCTAATTATATATTGGTTGTAACAGTTGCCTTTTATTGCTGATGAATCATATATTTTTTTGTTGTTGTTGTTGTTGTAGTTGTCGCACAGGTTTAATTTGAAGTAATGCAGCAAGAACTTGAGAAGGAAGAAACAAACGCCGATAATCTAATCTAATAATCTCCGTAGCATATTATTTTTATTTATAGCATATTATTAAATCAATTTTATTGACAAAAATGACTAGACCGGCCCATTGGCCATTTCCCAAGATAGGGCTTGTTTTTAACGGTGTATTTAGCTATATTTTTCTCACGTAATTCATAACCAAAATAAATAACACGCAGACATTTACCTATTATCATGTTTATTTGAAATAACAAACAAATGGAATAACTATAATTTTTAATTTGTATCCGTTGTTTTTCTTCTGTATTCGTTTGGCTGCCTGTATATAGTAGTCAGCATCTTCCATGTTACTGAACAATTTGGGAACTGAAACCAAATATTTCTCAATCAATTAAACATAATCCATCCTGATCTATTTTATAATCCAAAAATTTCAATTATTAAACTTAACGTACAGCAATCGCACTCCATTTTGATCATCTTTACAATTTCTACCACTAAGTTTATAAATGTGTAGTCAATTTTCCATGCATTCAGGTAATTAATTGAAGAATTTACTCACCCTGATATGGACAATTTCTTCTTGTGTTGCCTAGTAATGTCCCTGGTTCACCATGAGTAATAATTTTACTATTCACCTCCACATATTTTCATGAATAACACTGTCAAGAAATCAATTCAATCTCGAGATTTTCGCCTCGGGGATTTGTTTACATCCCAACAACAATCCGGTTTGTCACTCCAGAGCTAAAAATAAATAAATAAATAAATGTACATCTATAAATTGATATCACCTTCTGAATTAAAAACTATTTGTGTTGCATAAATATTATTACTCACCTATTGAACTATGTTCTTTCATAGTCAGATGAATTTATTATTGTTTTCTGAGATCTTCCAATGTCAAAGGCTGATGTCGCTGATGTCGAGGTACTATTCTGCGTACCGAACTACTTGCACACCTCGCTTGTTCCGCATAGTTGCCAATTTTATTCCAGAATTTCCTTATGTTTATTAATCAATCAAATTTATATGCAGATATGACAGTGTTGCCACATTTATTCACGATATTTCTTTGAATTTATATTAGGAACCTTCTCATTTTGGGATTAGCCGACAAGGTTTGGCTCTTAATGGTCAGGCGTACAACTATATTTGGAAATGTCATGTCGAAAAGAATAAAATTTTGAGAGGGGACTTCCTTCCACAATCGGAGGGCCATCTTGTTCTGTTCCGCTAGTGCGAGAAGACCTGAAATTTTCCTCCTTTTTGCCTGGGGCATCTTCGTTGGATTGTGAAAGAAAATGTCATAGATAGTTTCCTGTCTCATTCCCGTTGTGAGTGCGTACCATCTTTTTTTTTGTATACCCTTGGACCCGAGAAATTCTACAATTTGTAGGATCTGATTGTCTTCAGCCGCACTTTTCGCCAGACGGAACCACGTGAAAAACCCTACCCGACATCATCTAGGGTTTTTATTTTGGGGGAATCTTCGCTACTGGAGATCCATTGACACGTTTTCCACCGGGGACCTCTTTCCGAACAGAGACCCTTTTTCCACCATAGGGATTCTCACGTCATCGGTTTAGAAGCCTTCCTCGCCCATTTTAAATTAGTTAGTCAATAAGCTTTCGCATTAAGAGAGATCTCCTAGTTTGGCTGGCTTGAATTTTTGTTGTTAGCCGTTAGTAGATGTAATAAAATGTATTGATGTTAATTTTAGCAATTATTTACCCACACAAAAAATCTGTTGTTTGTATGTATTTTTGTTTTTGTTTCTTGGGGTTTTGGGCTAAAGAGTGCCTTTCAACACCAAGGCGTCTTCCAGTTTTGGCGGATAAAATGTGGTGGCACCCCTAAAAAATACCCCCCCTACTCTCCGGTGTACCTGAGCATAGGGCCCAATTTGCCAACGCTAAACCACGGCTTTAGCCTCAGTAACTCCCTAGTTTTTTTTTAATCATCCATTGCCTCAATTGAGAGAAATAACTTTAGATCAAAATTAAAAAGTGATCTTAATTAAAAAAAAGAGCGTGGCATGTTTATACGACGTGTTTAGAAATAAAAATATATTGTTTATATTCCGCATTCTGACTAATACGAGCCCAAACAACTGAATATTCGGACACGTTCACTTTTTGTGTGGACCCATAAATTAACTGCCGCCTTCTAAAAATGTTTGGCAATCAATTTATGTTGATAGATAAGCATAATAAACAGATATTTTCTGATTTATTACCTTAATACAAACAAAAATATCGTGAAATATGATGACAACTAAATGTTCGGACAGGTCATGAAGCGTAACATTTGAGATAAGCAGAGACTAGCAGGCTATGCAAAAACAATTGCTGGCGATACCAATGTCAAAATACCATTTATGTCAACGTCGTTAGAAATTGTATTTAGTATCTAATTGTATTTTCTTGTTGGTAATTTATATTCATGCAAAAATGGTGTGAGGTGTATCCACTGACCAGAAAGTGAGACAAATTATTATTCAGCAGTTTTGCAAAGGCAAGTCAATACGAAAAATATATCTACAGTTTCGGACATTATAAAAAAGTATGGCGAAACCGCCAGTTTTGATGTGCGCGGTAAAAGTCCAGGTCGACCGAGGATTGTAACTGAACGGAATCGAAGAGCTTTGGTCAAAATCTGAAAATCAGGTAGACGAAACACTTTGAGTGTGGAATGCAGATTTCATGAGAATGCTGTCGAAAGTACATTGATAAATCTGGACTCAAAATTTATAAGCTATGCATTATAAGATTATTATTCCAAAATAATTTTAAAATGTTTTTTTCTTTAATTAGGCTAAAGAAAAACCGCTTCTAACTGAAGTCCAAAAACAAAGGCGCTTAATTTGGGCAAAAGCAAAGCGCTCTTGGACGTACGAAAACTGGAGCTAGATCATAGTTAGTGACGAAGCCAAATTTGACGTATGCGTAGGCGATCATCGGAAAAAGGTCATCAGAAGCAGAACTGAAACCTTCCACAAAGAAATTTTCCAAAGGTATTATGGTGTGGGGCTGTATGTCTGCAGTTGGAATGGGACGTCTTCATTTTGTAGATGGCGCAGTAAATGCAGCTAAATACCAAGACATCCTTGAGAACACATTATTGCCTACCATAGCAGACTTATATCCTGATGAAGATTGCATTTATCAGCAGGACGGCGCGTCATGCCACACTGCCAAAAGCACAAAACAATGGTTTGGGGATCATGACGTACATGTCCTCTGTTGACCCTCAGAGAGCAATCCCCGAACTGCGTGTGAAATTGCAAGAAATTTGGAATTCGTTTACACGAGAAAACTGTCAAGCATTATTTAAGACCAAGCCTGCAAGAATTCAGGCGGTAATTAAGGCAAAAGGCGTCGTAACAAGTTATTAGTTAAGTTACATTTTGTAGTGTCCGAATATTTAGTTGCCACATATTTTTGAGGTTATTTTTTTTGTTAATTTAAATTACTTATCAAGAAAAACAAATATTATCATTGAAAATAGGTCACATTTTGTATAAACTGTCAATAAAAGTTTTCAGTACAAGTGTACTATCTTGTTCTGTTATGTTATAAAATGATTTGCACAAAATTGCTAAAGTTGCTTATCCACAATAGCTGGCTTTGATGATATGACACTATTCTCGATCTGATGCTAGACTGTCTGTGGCTATCCAGAAAGTTTTGCAGAATTTTCCACTAACTGTCTAGCTAGCATAAACCTATAACGAGGGTATTCTTTCTTGACCAGGTCACCTAATTACGATCTTACCTATATAATTATGTGCATAGAGGAGAGTTGGCGCATCAGCTTAGATGATGCAGTTTTTTTTTGTTGTTGTATCGTTAAACACGCATATTTATTCTAACAGTACGGCAACGTCTCTTTAGTCAAGCCATTATATTTTCAATGAGTCGCTAGTGCAGTTAGATTTTTAAGTGGGTGATTTTCTGGAACTTCAGAACTTCACTTCAAGATACTCCGAAAATATTTTTATATTGTGGAATAAGATAGTATTCAGGTAAATTTAGTCGTATTTATATTATGTTTTTGATTATTTTATAACAGTTTAGAGATGTTTAATTATACCTAACCTCAATTTATCACGATATTTCAAACCAGTTTTTTAAAATTTAATGCGTCATCTCTCCATATATAGTAAGGTCAGTTGGTGCAATGACTGATGAGCTGAGTCGACGTACCTTAATTTTTTTTTTACTTGAAAAAATATTTTTTGGTCTATAACCAATAACACACTTAACTGGTACGTTTCTTTTTAAATTATTACCTTTTTATCAAAATATTGTTTCTGACTACGCCTACCTGACCTACAAGACGCTGCACAAAAAGTTCGTGCTAATAATACGGACATTCATAGAAGCTAGGATAATTCTCGAGAGCCTCAGCCAGGTTGTTTTCATTTGTCTGTGCCCCGGAGAAATGCTAGATCAAATATCACCACAATCGGTAGCACGTGTTGTATAGACAACAAGAAAACATAGAAAAATTGGCTAGTATTTTAACGTCTCTTGAAAACATCAAAGACAAAAAGAATAAGGCAGCGAACAAAGCAAAAAAGCAAGTTAATCAATTTTGAAGACAAAGATTGCTAAGAAAAAATACGTATCTGATTCTGAATCTGATGACAATGATAATGAAATTACCTATGATGATTCGACAAGTGGTGAAGATAAATTTGAAATCTGCGTTGGTTGAGGAATACAGCAAACCAAAAAAAAAAACAGGACTGGATACAGTGCATTCAGCGTATGGGATGGATGCACGAAGATTGTGCAAAATATCTGCGTCTTGTGTGGGTAAAAATCAGCTCGAAAAAGATAATTTTTTTGTTACTTAAAATCAATAGATACTTTGTTAGTTCCTACTTTGGTTCATAATTTGTTTAGAGTTACCCAACTAGCAAAGTAGTGGTATAAGCTTTTGGTAAAAGAACCGTTCAGCCATAAAAGCTCTCCATTATTGTTGCCTGAACACCAAAATGCTGGCTTAATGTTGTGTGGAATGCAAATTTGCTTTATGCAACATATTTGCTCTAAAATGAGGTGTTTAACATATTCTTATAGCATAGTTATACAACACCTTATAGGGCAAATTTTTAACTGTTGCATAAACGTTTATACAACTATGTTATACCACATATTTGCAAGTTAGGCAAAATGGTTGTGTTGTGGCATCCATGGTAACGTATATAAAACAAACCCGAGCCTTGTTGTTTTGCTGTGCAATTTACTACCTCAGCCCCCAACGGAAGCACTTATACAACTGTTGTTCAGTAACTGGTAAAGGCTGTACATATGCTAAATATATTGGTAAACAACTTCACCATAACCTAACTTTCTGCTGTCATAAATACCATAACCAATGTTTTAAGACAAACAACGCATGCATATTGGTTCAAAAGGTTTTATCACCTGTTCAAACCGAAGATATAGATCTGGTACAAATTCTGGGTAAATCATTCGGCTCTGTCGGTATTTCATTTCAGACATTTGTCACATTGTTGTATAACACCTGCAGGCAACACCAAAATATTATAATAACCTAAAGACCACATGGACGATGCCATGATTGTACACAACCACCCGCCATACCGGGCGAACATTTATTCCTCTATTTAATATTAAATAATTATGTTTCAGTTCGAAATTACAGATATAAAGTGATAAACGTTAGTGTAATTGTGTCTAAATATAGGATTTGTGGAAGATTTAACGCAGATAAGTTCAGTTTTCCATCTTAAAAATCTAGACATACTTTTGATCATTGTCAAAATATGAATCAAATACGAAGCCCGTAGAATTGGGTAACTAATTTGCACGATAATCACAATAAAATTTGCTGCGCAAGTAATTCAATAGCCCTATATCAAAGTGTAGAAGTTTATCATATACCTGTGTATGAAATTCACAATGGCCGATATGTAAGTAAACAAGATGACTGTAATGTGTTAGTTATATATATATTCTTCACTTCGTCTATACAATACATAAGAAATAGTTTGGTTGCAATAAAGTAGAATCACGTAACAGAATAGTTGTATAGTTGACAAAAACTGAATCTTGCACTGTCGCAAATGTCGTATAGCGGCTGCAAGAGGCTTACACTTGTTTTATAACTGTTACCTGCAGCCCTTATACAACCTCTTGAATGACTGAAGTGTCCTATTAGGTGTGCCCATTCCGCTTGTATAGCTCTTGTAAGAGGGTTTTGCCAATGTTCTTACAGTATACAGTGCTGTTTAAGGAATACTGTATAATCATTCTTGCAACTCTAATAGGAGTGATAATTGTTAGTTGGGTAGTTTTCTTAGTTTTGTGTTTTCAGGTTTGAGTGACCTTTAATTTTTTGGTAACACAGGCTTGTTTTGCAATTAATGCGTAACGGTCTTTTAAAAACATTCAAACACATTTCACAAACTAAATTTTGAAAGCGTGGTTTTAAAAAAGAAGGTGTCAACTAACCTTAGGCTCTGCGTCATCTCTCCGATAGGTATACATAGGGCGAGATGACGCAACATTAAGAAAAAAATTAAGCTGCATATTTGCAAAACTTAAATTTTAATGTCAAATTCTTGGTTCCTAATAAGAACCTAATACTTTCCTTCCTAAAAATCTGGATTCGTTTTGTTATTTTTATTAAAGCTTAGAATCTAGACCAGTTTGAAAAAAATCACGTCATCTCTCCTCGATTTACCAGTAAAAATATATTTTTAGATTTTTAAATTTCATTGTGCAAGCCTATGTATCCGTTATTAAAGCAGAGCTTGTGAAGTACCCTTTATAACTGTCCTATTAGCTTAAACACAGTGATTCGTCTTCAGCCCAGCTCATCGAACTTTGGGATTGCGAAACTTTTTTTATGGATAGCCGTTGAATAAATTAAGAAGTGATCAGCAAGGCTCTTCTCCGCCCTGATGCGTCTGGTTGAGTCTTGTGAATTCCCTGGCTAAATAGGCCTTTGAAATTTAAGCTTCCATTTTCCCTCCTATTGATCTCAGCCATGATAGGTTGTTTTTGAGGTCATGGACACAAGTTTGGTTAAAGTTGTTTTCAGCGTCACACAGTGATCTAGCGGCGCTAGTTGGAGCGGAAATGTTTAAAAATGACGTCGTATTTTTAGTGTTCCAAAAATGTATCGATATCTTTATAATTTGTGCCGTCAAAGTCGATATAGATTTCATTTCTGTCTTACATAAACCGTACGTGTGTAGGGAGAAAAGATTTGTTGTGGCTTTGAAACGAAACGATTTAACAAGGATCCTGGAATTTTTTTGAGAGACTTGCTTTGATTTGAATAGTCACAGTGATCCCTAAATGGAAAAAGGCTTTTTCGGCTGCTAGAACTTCACAACAACCCCAAAGTTTAGCGTTCCGGTAACGCTTGCCGGCAAATTATTCCCTTTTTGTTGAGGGATAAAGGCCAGGATGGCAATTATACGTGGAGTGAAATTCCAAACTTAGAATCATTCTGCCTTTTTTGCTTTAATTATACCGGAGCAGCCGCGTAGGCAGACGCCTAAATACCAGTGCACCATGACGGCTATGATGAGCTCAAAGAAAGTTTTCTAATCCGATTTTTGAACTACCTACATTTAGTAGAACTAGGAAACGCTTCTGCACGATATTGTTCCAGAATTTTGACACTCTATGGACAAAGGAGCGGTCGTAACTGCCAGTACTGTTTGTACGGAGTTCGTCACGATTACAATGGGAGGAAGATGTCAGGCAGATCTGTCTGATAGGCATATTACGCGGCGGCATCATGTTGCTAATCAAATCACAATGAAAAATATGTCGCAATTTTCAATCTTCGGTATTTTGCCAAATAGTGATACGAAAAAGATATTCATTTCATTAATTAGTCTAAAATAAGATTTAAATATTTAGAATATCATTTCATTTCATCCCTTTGATATTCGGCAGATTAATATGCTTTCTGACACATTTAAATGCTGTGGAGTCCCACATCAACAACTGCTGATTTGGGAAACATTAATTTTGGACTATAAAGTGCTAATAATAAGACAAACAGTAGGTATGTCTCCTTTTAAAAGAAATTGTTGCTTGGTCATGCTACACTTTGCAAAATTTTATCATGGAATGTAGTTGCTGAAATGAATGCTGTGGTTAGTCATCAGCATAGTATCACTCTGATTCCTATAAAATTCTCACACCAGGTTAATATTACTGAGAAAAATAAAAAAATGGATTGGTGTTGAGACAATCAACCAATCAAAAAGTTGACCGTCGTTGTCCCCTCTATAAATCCGAAAATACCTTCCGGAGTTTGCTACAATGCCGAGAGAGTTCAAGATTTTTTTGGCATGTCCGTTGGCGATAAAATGCTCAACAGAGATAAAAAATAGCCTATCCAATGATACTTCAACTATAGGAGTTTCTAGGCCTGCCTTAAAAAGGGGCATCAAGCATGTGATGCAGTAGGATAAGAGCAATAATAAGAGGTGATTCAGATGTTATAGCTTCCGGTCCTTTTAAATTTCAAGATGATGCAGGATGACTCTGCAGTAAAAATATCCATAAACCCAGTTCTTACACAATTCATTCATCCTAACAGTTTTCTTACTTCAGCTTCGAAATTTGGCTTTACACGACTTGAGAATAAGGTGTATGGAAAGTACTATATTGAAATCGATAACCCATACACGCTTTAACTTTTCTCTGCGAGTTCTGGCAAGCTGATCCGGTCTAAATGTTCCAATTCGCTTGTGAATTAAGGGCATTATTCTCACTGAAAACAGCTGGCAATTGCAACCCGTCGGCAACCCGAATCAGCGCAATCATACAACTACAAGCATTCACAAGAAAAAGACGACAATGTGTTGCTCACCGGTTGTTAAGTTTTGCATATGGAAATAAAACAACACGGTAGGTAGTTTTAAATGACTTTATGTGTTTCGAAGTATTTTCCACGAGAATTAATACACATCTGCATGCGCTCGAACCAATTTTCGAAGCACTTATTCCACTCGTTTGCTGGCAGATCCAAAACGGCATTTTTGAATGCGTCAACTGCTTTTTCTGGTGACTGGAACCTTTAACCACGTAGTCTGTTTTTAATTTTCGGAAAAGTAAAGAAATCGTTAGGACTTAGATCGGGACTATATGGAGGATGGCCCAATAATTCCACATTTTCTTCCGTTAAATACTGCCTTGTTTTTTGGGCTGTGTGCGAGCTTGCATTGTCTTGTTGGAGGATGATTCTTCTTTCGGGGTTGATTTTTCGAAGCTCGGTGATGACTTTTGGCAAACAAATGGCGGTATACCAATCCGCAGTAACAGTTCTTTCGCTTTTTTGTTTCCGATGCGATGAACCGGTCAGGCGGATTATATCCGTTGTCGCCAAACACGAACATATTATTATTGAGACAGGGCGGTACTCAAACTTCCAAAGGACTATAACTTTGTTACTTTAATTTTACCAGAAAAATGGTAAAGGAAAAAACATTTCTTTTGATCAGATCTACTCACTGTTAAAATAAATGACTCAACTTCGAAGTATATTGGTTATTCATACTTCCAAAAAGGCTATTGTTTGAATATTACTACGGTAACACATACTACTCGTATATCTTTACTTTTAGGCTTTTAAGTTAGTTAAGTAGGTTTTGTTAGGTTAAGTGGAAGACCAGTCATTCCTCTATAGGAATGAAAGCTAAACTTCGCCTTTTCCAAGTACCACTTCCATATCTCTGTACCTTGGTACCAACGAATAAAGATGATTATTATTATTATGATTATTATTATTATTATCTTTTTCGAAACACTTCGAGAACGGATGACTCTTGTTGGCTTTTCTTCACCTTGGAACACCCAAACAGCCGAGTGTCTTTTATTTTCTGGTTCATAACAGTAAATCCATGATTCATCACCACTAACAATGCTGCACACATTTTTTGAGTTTCCGGAATTGAAACCGTCAAGCGTTTTTTGACAGCAATTAACCCTGGCTGCTTTCTGCTCTTCAGGCAACAGGTGGGGTATAAAACGAGAAACTAATTTTCTTACTCCTAGTTCTTCATATCAAATTTTTTCAATTGAGGTTTTTGAGATCTCCAAGGACGCCTCAATCTCGCGATATGTCGCATATATATCTTCAATGGTGAGTTTGCGCACAGCATCGACGTTTTCCTGGGTGAGTGTCGTTTTTGGTGCACCCACTCTGGGATCGTCGCTAAAACTCACCCGGCCACGTTTGAATTCTCCATACCAACGGGAAATTGTCGAATGATGTGGCGGTTTGTTGCCAAAAACAGACAGTAACTCAGCAAGGCATTCTTGTTGCGATAATTGTCTCTGACAGTTGTAATAAATTATGGCGCGAAAATGTTCGGTGAGTTCCATTTTTCTAATGACTTGGTGACACTTAAAAATTCACTGTAGTGAGAACACTGCACGTATTGTTGTGAAACTTTGAATTTAAGTTTACTGAAGAGTGAGGTTAAGATTCAGACTGACGTTCGATCTGCGCGGCCTACTATATTTCTGTATGCAAAACTTAAAAGACATCCCTCGTAGTACTGTCATCCCTAGCCGATTTTCGCTTGCTCACCTGTTGATGGCAGATATCGTGAAAATGTCATTATAACGCTTCAGCTAATTTTTGTCATATTCTCAACAACTGATAGATAAATAATCGGATAAAAGAACTTTTGTGCGTTTTTCAGTCCTTTGAAGTGATTTAGTTGCAGCAGGTAGTGTTGAACAGCCGCAGTTGCTACAAGAAATATGGCAAGCAAACCCAAAACAACCAAGATATGCCAAGCTGGACGCAATCGAAAACAGCTGCTGACAAAAACATGTCAGACCGCCAGCCTTCTAAGATAAAAGATGCAATAAATAACGTCAGAGGGTCTGTCGAGATATTTTGATAAATGGATCTTGAGGGCCTTGGTTAATTTTTCATACGAAGCGTGTCAATTGGCGAAGGGTAGTCGACTTGATTTTTAGACGAATTAATCTCAGATGTGTTTTTTTATTCCTTTGTTAGGGTTGTTTTCTCCAGGATGACAGTTAGAAATATTGCTTTCCATTCGAAGAGATAGATTCAATGTTTGGGAAAATATGTATCTCAATCATAAAAACCGTTTGATGTATAAAAAGTTTTATTGTAGTTCGGTGTTGCTTCTATATAAATTTGAAAAAGCTAAAATGCTCGTGTATGTGCCAAGTATGTGTAGCATGCCTGTATGAAGGTCCATGGATGATTTTACTCTATACATGGTGTTCTGAAAGTTAGGACTCTCCTTTTCAAAAACAACAACGTTTGTAATAAAATACATAATGTGCAGAAAAACAATACCGGAAAAGTAAAAAATAAAAAAGTACTCACCGCTCATCGAAAAAGAACGTTAAGTACAGCTCTATCACTTGAAAGTGTTGTTCAAATTTGGACGGCTTTTTGCGTAAAAGAACCAGTCCGGAAAAACAGTTATTGAGCAATAAGGCTTCAAAGTTTTGACAATGGAAACAAATTAATTGCAGACGAAACACGATTTTAATTAACCCTGCAGTAGTCGCGCCGGGTCTCACAGACCCACGAGTTTATGTCATGTAGCGTAGCTTAGATGTGGCAACATTTCCAGGCGTGCTACTTCCACTGCCTGCCTAACTTGACAAGGGCATGCTTACAATGTAGCCAGCTCTATTATATTTGATAACCGGAAAGCGTGATATTTAAATCTTGACAGTCAGACCCGGCGCGACTAAATTAGTCATTTTGAAATTGGCGTTTAGACTCGGCGCGACTAAATTCGTTATTTAAAAGTGTTGTGCATTGATTGCTTATTTCGGTAAGTAACTATTCCTATTACTTAACCATGACTTTACTTCATCAAATATCTAATGCATGTCATTTAGATATCCTATAAGATGAACCTTATTTACTTTTATATTCCATTCTACAATGACTGTAGTATAATTTCTATTGGTAATATAAATATTTTATTTTAGAAATGAATTGCTCTTATGAAAAAGAACAAGAACGTCTTAGGCATCTTTGGGAAGAGATTAAGTTATCTGATGAAGTAGCGGATAATGATGAAGATGAAGATGAAGGAAATTTGATTGAGGATATTGTTGAAGAAAGGAAAGATTCTAACAGTGAACAAGAAGCGGAGAGTGATCAGGAGTTGAAAAGTGATGAGGAAGCGGAAAGAGACGTGGAATTCCAGCCTTATTTTACTGGCAAAGATGGAATTACGCAGTGGAATAAGCATCCATTCTCGCAGCGAGTGAGAAAAGCAAAATCAAACATTGTAATTCACCTACCTGGTGTAAAAGGGATCGCAAAGAATGCCAAAACACCTTTAGAATGTTGGATGTTATACTTTGATCAGATTGAAAGTATTGTGGAAAACACCATCAAATATATATCAACTATATCTGATAAATATAAGCGTTCTAGAGATGCAAAACCTACAAGCCTAGCTGAAATCAGAGCTCTAATAGGTTTATTATATTTAGCAGGACTTCAGAAAGGCAGTAGACTCAATACTGAAGATCTATGGAGTCGAGATGGTACTGGGATTGATATGTTTTGGTTGACCATGTCGTTGCAGAGATTTCGTTTCCTGATGCGTGTTATCTGCACTGACGACAAAGAAACAAGGGAGGAACGTATAAAATACGACAAACTAGCACCTATTCGAGAAGTTTTTGATTCTTTTGTAAGAAATTATCAAAAACATTATACAATTGCCGAATACGCGAGAATAGATGATAACCTTGAGGCGTTTAGGGATCGCTGTGATTTCAGGCAGTATATACCCTCGAAGCCAAACAAATATGGTATCAAGATTTTTGAACTGGTAGACGCCAATATGTTTTGCACTTTAAATTTAGAAGTGTACGTAGGGCAACAGCCCGAGGGGTTTATCGACAAAGCAATGATCCTAAAAGTGTTGCTTTGCGAATGATTCAACTAATATCTAAAACAGGAAGAAACATCACCAAAGATAACTAGTTTACCAGTTATGAACTAGTTGATGTGTTGCTACGAGATCATAACTAAACGCTTGTTGGAACGGTTAGGAAGAATAAGAGAGAACTACCAGCAGTATTCATAAATACAAAATTGCTTCCTGTTAATGTTCGGCTTTCAAAAAAATAAAACTCTTGTTTCTTATGTACGAGTATCTCTCGTATGCACCATGACGATAAAATAGATCTTGCAACAGAAGATAAAGCCAAACCAGAAATTATTACTTTTTACAACCAAACGAAATCAGGCGTTGATGTAGTAGATGAAAAAGCTGCAAACTACAATTGTGCAAGAAATACTAGGAGATGACCCATGGTTGTACTGTATCCTTTATTAAATGTGGCAGCAATTAACGCACATATCATTTTTTGCGCAAATAACCGAAACATAGATTTAGTAAGAAGAAAGTTCCTGCTGCAGTTAGCACGTCAGCTTATAAGCGATTACCAAACGCACAGAGCTACTATGACAAACCTTTCACGTGAAGTAAGAAAGCGTCGGCGAGAAGCTGCCAATATACCTGAAGAAGAACGTGAGCTTCCAGTGCCCGGAAAAAGAAAACGATGCGAAGAATGTGTTAATTCAGATAGCAAAACCAGATACTACTGCAATGTTTGTTATAAATATTTATGTCTAGGCCACGCAACTATTTTTTGTAAAAACTGTGAACAAAAGAACAGAGAAGCTAGTAGTGATTCTGATAATAATAATGGCGATTTATAGATTCTTGTTTTCAGTAGATTAATTTTATCTTAAGTTCTTGGTTTTCAGTTGCAGTTAAAACTAGATTTTATAACATTATTTCTTTTAATATATATATTTTAAATGCAAATGGGTATTTAATGACTTACAATATTATACAGAATCAATTTTTATATGAAATAATTTAGTTATTGTTATGATTTGTCCAAATTTAACAGTTGGGTCTGTGAGACCCGGCGCGACCAGATTTTCACAAAATAAGAGCGCGACTAGCCCCGGGTTAATGGCATACTAGAGGCTTTATTATGTGTATGGATCTGTTTTACAGTAAATGGTATTGCTTGTAATAGCTTATTTTCCTGAAATCTAAATTTTTCATATTTAGTGGGTTGGTTCCTTTCTGCAAAAAGCCGTCCAGTTGTTCTCGATAGATTCACAGACACATGTATGTGCTCGACGTTAGTAGCAAGTAAGTGAGCCATCATTTGTTGAGTACTGTTATGTCTTGTTGCAACTTCATGACCATTTTTTTCTACTCTGGGGCACTGATTGTGGCAAGTAAGTTAGTGCAGTACGAAAATTTTAACAATCTTTTATATATATA